GGGGCTGGACGGCCGAGCCGCCTCGGCCCCCACCCCACCCCGCCTCTCCGCGCCGACCCCTCTGTGTCGCGGCCCGGAGCCCTGGCGTCGAAGGTCGCGGAGCTGGCGCCCTGGCCGCCTCTCCGTACACACAAAGCTCTCCTTGTGAGCCGGGGGTTCGGCCCGGAGGCCGCCTCCTCCCTCTGCCCCCCCTCACCACCACCACCACCCCCAGTGGCGCCTTTAGGCTCTTCTAGTTGCTTTTCTTAATGGCTTTTCTGTGTTAATTGCAGGGAGACTGAGGGCATCGCACTGGGGAGTGGGGAGTGGGGAGAGGGCCGGGCCCAGGGCACCCGCACGTGTCTCGACTGCCTCGGTCGCCCCCCCAACCCATTCCCCGACGCTGTCCCACCGGCCCGGGAGGAAGCCGCGTGGGAGTTGTCTGGGGAGGTTTTTCCTCTCTTTCTCACTCTCTCTCTCTTATTTTGGGGTGAAGGTTGGAGACGAATTTGATCAGCTTCTTATTTTGGGCCATCCCAACCCACTCAGCCCGGCAGGGCCTGGGTGCGGTCGGGAGGGGCCGGGAAGGGCCCCAGAAGGGGGAAGGGATCTGGACTTGGCTTCCTCCCTCTTGGTCCTGGCCCTGGACCCACCCCCGGAGGAAACATCTCCAGAAAGAACACACTCTCTCTGTCCCGAAGGGATCTGAGGCTGAGAAGCAAAGCGTGGCCCTAGGAGTGGGGGTGACCAGGGAGAGTGCAGATCTGCCCTGGGGCTAAGCCTGACACGGTCCAGCAGGAGGGGGCATCCTCTCCCCTGCCTGGAGCCTGGAGTCTTCATCAGAGGCCTGCAAGGAGAGCTCCTAACAAAAGAAGCCTGGGCATCTGGGGGCTGCCCACTGCCAACTTTGCCTGCCCTGCCTTCCCTCCCCTGCCCCACTAGGCCCCCTAGGGGAGGGGCGGTAGCCCTGGCTCTGTTTTAAGTGGGTCATGGGCAGTCCCAGTGCCAGAACCACCATTTGCTTCTGGGCTACGGAGGGGTGGGAGGCAGAAGGAGGGAGGAACAGGCCCAGAGGCTCCCATCCAGGGCCTGCTGGAGTTTGCCCAAGTTTCCCCCAACCCACCCACCTTCTCCGGGACTCCTAGGCCAGAGGTGGGAGGGGTTCTCTGGGCTTCTCCCCTAAGGGAATACCTCCAGACCACTCAGTTTTCCAAGACAAAGCCAGCCAACTGAGTTTTTTGACCTAACATAGTTGCTCCCTCTCCAGGCCAATCTAGAGGGTGAGCTGGGGTAGCCAGGCCTCAGGCAGCCGGGTCCCTCCCACCAGGCCTCCAGAGTCCTGCACCAGCTCCAGGACAGCCCTCTCCTCCCGAGGCCTGTCTGGCACTTGGCCCTTCCCCCCGACCCAGCCGCAGACACAAGAGTCCTCTCTTCTGTGGTTCCTACCTCACCTCCTAGTCTTCTCTGTGGTTCTTGCTTTGCTCAGAGCCTAGGCCTGGGAGGAGAGGGATGGGGGCACTTCCTTTCCAGGCCTCGAGGCTCTCTTGACTGCAGGGAAGTCCCTTTCTTGCCTAAGTCTCGCTCAGACTCCGAGATCTCTGATTCTCACAAGTCTCCATTTTTCTCTTTTGTACATGGGGTGGACGTTGTGGGTGTGAATATTTAGACCTGCCTACTTTCTTGAAAGACTCAGCAGGGAGAGGGATTTATCCCAGAGCTCCTGGATGTGGATCTCCCCACGTCTCTGCCACCCTCCATTCTGTCATTCTGCCCTCAGAGAATTCCCCTCAGTTTCGTTCCCCGAGGGTTGAGGGGGCCTGACTTAAGTCCTCCTGACTTCCAGCTCCAGGAGTAGGCCACTCCCATCCTTCTCCAAAGCTGAAGCAGCCGCTCCCCGACCAGGGGTCATGGGCCTGCGGGGTGTGTGCCCCACAGGTGAGGCTAAGGGCAAAGGGGGTTTCCCGCGTGCCCAAGTACTCCCAGGCCACTGGCTGTGGCATCAGCCAGCACAGGTCAGGGCACGTCTGCAGCGCCTGCGGGCAGCAACCAGGTAGGCAGCACCCCGCTCTGCTCCCACGTGGTCTGCCAGAGGTTAAGCTTGGCTCCCTCCTCTACCCCTGAGGAGGCGCTCTCAGAGGCGGGGAGTGCTAAGGTTGTTCTGGCCAGGCCCGTCGGCTGGGGAAAGGCTGGGTTGTTTACATCTCAGGCCCTAACTCCCATCAGCCTTGGGGGATCACTTCCCAGAACCCTGTTGCAATTCTTGTCCTCGCGGGCACATGTCGCCGGTCAGCTGCTCCTGAATCACCCCCAGCCCCAGTGCAGGAGCACTGCTCCGCCCCCAGGGCCTGGGCCTAGAGGGGAAGGGCCTCGGGAAGATCCATCCTGACGACCTGGGATAGGGGTTGGGGCACCCAGCGGTGGCCTCTACGCTCCGAGCTTCCATCCTAGGCAACCCGCAGGCCCCCTCTGAACTCCTGAGGAAGGCGAAGCTGGAGCAGGGACCAAAGTAGTATCTCCACTGGAGAATCCGAGTATTTTCATATTCCATATATAACTTGGCTCATTTTACTTTTCAGGCTTTAGGAAAATACTCCATTGTTCTTGCAATAAAGGCCGTATTCTATGTGCCTTTCAATCAAATACTGAAAACCTAACTTTATGTTAAGGCAATATGCCAGCCTTTATATTATGAACAATTCACAACATACCTCAAGTACAATACTGTCACCGAGTCTCTACCACTACCCCCATCTCCCACTCCCTCTACTGAGAACCTCAAATGGGCCTTTAGGACGCAAGCCCTAGGTCAGGCGCTTGGATGCGGACAGAGGCAGGATCCTAGCTCTGTGGCTGGATCACACCCCCACCACCTCCAAAGGTCCCAGCTTCCGGTCTCAGCAGCCAGCCTCAGCCCTAGCTCCTGTTCCGCACTCTCCTTTCTAAAAAGATATCAGCTGTGAGGGTCCTGGAGGCATGGCATCCCTGTCCCAAGAGGGTCTCATACCAGGACCAAAAGAGAGCCCCCTCAGCCTCCCTGCCTCCACCCATCATGAGAACAACCCACTCGCAGGTAGGACATGCTATATTTACAAGAACAGTGACACAGAGGAGGAAAGTACTGGAAGGAATCTCAGCTCTGAGAAGACATCCTAGGACTCAGTTAAGCCCTCTGGGCTCCCATTCTCAAGAGTTACAGCCAAAGTCCAGAGCCGTGGCTCCCCACCCCTGTTTGAGCCCACAGCCCTGAGAGGACAAGTCATACTGGGGCCTGGGCCAGAGTTCAGGTCCAACCTGGGAACTCCTCCAGCCCCACTGCCAGAGCCAGGCTGGGAGCTCGTTGCCCTTTCCTCCTAAGCCAAGGGTGCATGCCAGATACCAGGGGGAGGCCGAGGCTCCCCTCGGGCCAAGTGGAGATGCTCGAAGCCACACTCCTCTCCCTGCAGGCCTGGCTGCAGCAGTATGGCTATCTGCCCCCCGGGGATCTGCGCACGCACACACAGCGCTCCCCCCAGTCCTTCTCAGCTGCCATCGCTGCCATGCAGAAGTTCTATGGTCTGCGCGTGACGGGCAAGGCTGATGCAGACACCATGAAGTAAGTGCTAGACCCTGGCAGGAATCCTGCGTGGCACCCAGCGACAACACTGAGCACAGGGACATTGCTACCTGCACGCCTGACTCCTGCCCCCTCCCCCAACGCCACACGCTGGTCAGACGCTGGTCCCCACCCTCTCCTATTCACCCTGACCCCGTAACCTTGGCCCTTCCGAGGCCAGGCACTTCCCCTCTCCTCTGAAGACCTTTCTCTTTAATATGCTGCCCTGACCACAGTCCTCACTGCCTAGGGCCATGAGGCGTCCCCGCTGTGGTGTTCCCGATAAGTTCGGGGCTGAGATCAAGGCCAATGTTCGAAGGAAGCGCTATGCCATCCAGGGCCTCAAATGGCAGCATAATGAGATCACTTTCTGGTGAGTCCAGCAGGCAAGTTGCCTTTCTCACATCAGGGTCACCCTCCCTATGACTCAGAGGCCTCCTGTCCTACTCACCTCTATCCCTGTGAAGCATCCTTGGGAGTGGGGAGGAATGTGGCTGTAATCCTGTAGGAAGGTGCAGCCTGTGGGGGTGCACCCCAGGGCCAGAAAGCCAAAGCCTGCGGGGCCCCCGAGCCCTCAGTTCTTGGGGCAGAGGCATCCCGCACGAGGCAGCAGGAAGAGCCAGGCAGCAAAGGGGGCTGGGCGGTTCAGTCAGACCTGGGAAAGTACAGAGAAGGAGAATTGTATCGGTTGTGATCCTAACGCACTCCCATCCTCTCCCCATGTGGCTGGACCTCAGCATCCAGAATTACACCCCCAAGGTGGGCGAGTATGCCACATTCGAGGCCATTCGCAAGGCATTCCGTGTGTGGGAGAGCGCCACACCACTTCATTTCCGAGAGGTGCCCTATGCCTATATCCGAGAGGGCCATGAGAAGCAGGCAGACATCATGATCTTCTTCGCTGAGGGTTTCCATGGTGACAGCACACCTTTTGATGGCGAGGGTGGCTTCCTGGCCCATGCCTATTTCCCGGGCCCCAACATCGGAGGGGACACCCACTTTGACTCTGCCGAGCCCTGGACTGTCAGGAATGAGGATCTGAATGGTGAGCGAAGTAGCCCTGGGACTCATTTATTTTGGGGAGTGTCAGTGACCATTTGTAGTGGGGGCGGTTCTCCTGCCTCCTCCCCAAACCTCAAACCCCCAAGTCTCTGAGCTACAAAGATCTCCTAGTCTGACTTCCAGTGAAAGCAGGATTCTTATTTTGCTCCACTTATATCTGGTCCCTTTGTCACCCAATAATTGACTTCCCAGTCAAAGACTTCCCACTTTTCTGGGCAAATGTCACCTCTAGCTCCTGGGAGAACCTGGGGCCCAGATGGGACCTCAACTTCCCTTAATACACGCCTTCCTGGGATTGGTATCTGGCCCCAGAGCACCCTCTCACCTCCATCCAGAATAGATTGCTGACTGGCTTTGTGGCTTTTGGGGTGGAAAACATGACAGGCAGGCTCAGGTGTGAAAACGAAGCCTCTGGTGGGAAAGCAGGGAGTCTGAGGGAAGGGACCCAGGCTGCCCTCATCATCCTCCCCATCACTCCAGGGAATGACATCTTTCTGGTGGCTGTGCACGAGCTGGGCCATGCCCTGGGCCTTGAGCATTCCAATGATCCCTCGGCCATCATGGCGCCCTTTTACCAGTGGATGGACACAGAGAACTTCGTGCTGCCCGATGACGACCGCCGGGGCATCCAGCAACTTTACGGTGAGTAATCTATGCCCACATCTGCTCCTTCTCCCCTCCTGGTCTCTCTGACCTGTGCATCCCTTCCCTTCCCCCACACCCTACGGTCTGCCCCCAACCTCACCTGACCCTGCCTCCACCCACCACCCACTCCCACTTTTTTCTTTTTTTTACATTATTTCTTCTACATGTTTTATTCTTCTCCCACTTTTGAGTCCACCTTTCCTGTCCTTTCCCACCTGATTGCTTCAGCCTCCCTGCAAAGGGCCATCCACACCTTTCCAAGGGGATTGTCTGCCCATACGCCTGTTCTGTCCTCCCCCTCTGCCACAAAGTCTGAAGTGCCTCTCATGTTCTCTACACCAGGGAGTCAGTCAGGGTCCCCCACCAAGATGCCCCCTCAACCCAGGACGACCTCCAGGCCCTCTGTCCCCGATAAGCCCAAAAACCCCACCTATGGGCCCAACATCTGTGACGGGAACTTTGACACCGTGGCTGTGCTCCGAGGGGAGATGTTTGTCTTCAAGGTGAGAGGAAGAAGGGGGCCGCTGTGGGGGATGGGAGGGCTCTAAGCCCAGCAGGCTGGGTGGAAACAGCAACAGGAGGACTGAGAACTAGAACTGAGACAGTGGGAAGCTTTGGGGACCAAGCCAGAGGACTAGCTATAAGACAGAATGTACTGTCCCCACCTCGACGCCTTCTAGGAGCGCTGGTTCTGGAGGGTAAGGAATAACCAAGTGATGGATGGATACCCCATGCCCATCGGACAGTTCTGGCGGGGCCTGCCTGCATCTATCAACACTGCCTACGAGAGGAAAGATGGCAAGTTTGTCTTCTTCAAAGGTAACCAGGCATTCTGCCCGCGTTCTCCGGCTATGGGAAGAGTCTTCTGGAAGGAGTGGGTTCCACTCAACTCCTCCGAAGACCCAAGAGCCCCAGGGGAACCCTGATCCTGCCCTCCTTTCTCCTCTACAGGAGACAAGCACTGGGTGTTCGACGAAGCTTCCCTGGAACCTGGCTACCCCAAGCACATCAAGGAGCTGGGCCGAGGACTGCCTACTGACAAAATTGATGCCGCTCTCTTCTGGATGCCCAATGGAAAGACCTACTTCTTCCGGGGAAACAAGTGAGACCTCAGCCCCTTGGCCCCAGGCCTCCCCCCTCAGACACCACCACCAGATTCCCTCGATTCTGGAGAAAGACCCACCTACCCCAGGGATGGTTCCCTGGACAAGTTAGTTGCTGCCTGAGCCTCTGCTGTTGCCTAGCAACAGACAGCCTCCATTAGGTGCCGAGTGAGTGGGAAGTGACCGGGTCACCACTGCAGACCTGGTCATTTGGCGCCTCCTGCCCCCAGCACCGTGCCTCCACCCCAGCTGCCAGGCACTGTCATTAAAGGCTAGTGGCGGCTCCTTGCAGCCTGGGACCTCCCATCCACCCCCACCTTCCGCCACTTCCAGCTGCAGGCCCTCATTACTCAAAACCCCTGTCCCGCGCCCTGTCCGTAGCCACCCTTTGCTCACTGGTGAATTTAGTCCTGGGCCCCGCTACCCTCTGAGGACAGGCCCAGTGCCCGACTGCTTCCCCTCCCGTCCTCTCCCCCAGGTACTACCGTTTCAACGAGGAGCTCAGGGCAGTGGACAGCGAGTACCCCAAAAATATCAAGGTCTGGGAAGGAATCCCTGAGTCTCCCAGAGGGTCCTTCATGGGCAGCGATGAAGGTGAGGGGCGAGGGAGGTGTCCGTGAGGGGAGGATGGGGACAGCGGGCTAAGGGAGAAGGGGCGGCAAGCCGGACAGGACAGTATGGTCGGGAAAGCAGTGTTGACGAGGACGCCGGAACCCTTGCCTTGTGCCAGGCTCTGAGCAAAGTGCTTTCCACACATCGGATCCCCAAGCCCCAGCACCCTTCCAGCCTGGTACTAGAACTAGCCCAGTTTACAGCTGAGGCCACTGATGTTCCCAGAGGCTGAGGGATGAACTCAGCTGGCTCGCACGACTCACAGATTTTCTTTCCGCTCTTCCCTCTCTGTGGCTTTTCCCCCCGCCGCCGCCTTCTTGCTGCCCCCTGCAGTCTTCACGTACTTCTACAAGGGCAACAAGTACTGGAAGTTCAACAACCAGAAGCTGAAGGTAGAGCCAGGCTACCCCAAGTCAGCCCTGCGGGACTGGATGGGCTGCCCCGCGGCGGGCGGCCGGCCGGACGAGGGGACGGAGGAGGAGACGGAGGTGATCATCATCGAGGTGGACGAAGAGGGCAGCGGGGCGGTGAGCGCGGCCGCTGTGGTTCTGCCCGTGCTGCTGCTGCTCCTGGTGCTGGCAGTGGGGCTCGCCGTCGTCTTCTTCAGACGCCACGGGACCCCGAAACGACTGCTGTATTGCCAGCGCTCCCTGCTGGACAAGGTCTGACCCCCACTGCCGCCCGCCCACTCCTACCACGAGGACTTGGCCTCGGACGGCCAGCGGCAGCAGGTGGTGGTGGGTGGGCTGCTCCCACCTGTCCCAGGCCCCCCTCCCCACCCCGCCCCCCACCTCCCTGCTTCTTTGTCCCGCCACCGCCTCTCTCAACCTCAACCCTGGCATTGCTTCTTCCCTCCATGGGTCCCCTGTCCGCCCAGGGGCCTCTGTAGCTTGGTGTGTGTCCAGCCCCATCTGAATGTCTTGGCTCTGCACTTGAAGGCAGGACCCTCAGACCTCGCTGGCAAAGGTCAGATGGGGTCATCTGCTCCTTTTCCTTTCCCTGACGTAACTTTAACCTCTGAACTCTGACCTCAGGAGGCTCTGGGCACTCCAGCCCCACAAGCCCCCGGGTGCACCCCATTGGCAACCTCCTACCACTCTTTCTGGCTTAAAGGAATCTCATCTTGTTGAGGGGGAGACCAACCCTGAGAGAGTAGGAGCGGTTGGGGCGGTGGTTGGGGAGGGCCACACAGCCACCCTAAGACCTTGGGAGGAAAGCTCAGAGTCAGTCCCCTCCGCAGCAAAGATCTGCCTCTGCCCCGCCTGGCCCCAAGAACTTCCCCAGGAGCCTGAGCCATAAGGAGCTGTAGAAACCCTTGACGGTCCTACCCCCATAAATGTCAGCCTTGGCTGGGGATGTCAGGGTTAGAGGAGCTGAAACCAGGGGCTGCAGCTACCGGGGTGGGGGTGGGGGGCAAGGAGAGAGACTGTCTGGAGCCCTGGGGGTGAGCCTGAAGGCCACAGAAAAAGACTCTTGCTCAAATGCAGGCAGCTGGGATAGGGACCAAGGGGCAGAGCAGTCAGGGGGATAGGACAGGACCAAAAGGCTAACTGGGGGAGGTGCAGTGGGAGTGGAGGGCTGGGGGCCGGGCAGGCCAGGCCAGCAGGGACACCACAAGGTGGGCTGTGGTACCCAGGGGAGGGCATATTTTATCGGAGCTCTGAGGAAGGGCCGGAGAAAGGCACACCTACTCCACGTTGGTGCCCTTCCTCCAACCAGAGTACACGTATGGGAAGGGTGGGGAGCCCAGAGAAAGGAGCAGAGATGATACACATCCAGGGACTGGTGACTTGGGACCTTCATGAGGGTGGCCATCTAATTAGGGAGGCGACCAGGGGCGGCAGCGCTCAGCAGCCTCAGCTGGCTTCAGTGAGGGGGCAGGTGCCTGGGTGGGTCTCGTCAGGTTAGCCCCTCACTTCCTGATGCCCCTGCCCCTCAGCCCATCCTTCCGGTGTCCTGCCTCCTCTCCCCCACCCAGCCCACCCATTCAAAGTCTCCTCTGGCCACCAGAGGTGGTCATGGTACCGGGGACTTGGGAGAGTGAGACCTG